GAAACTAAAGAGCAACTCTTACTTTTTTTGTAAGCAACTTGCTCTCAAACTCTGGAATTTAGGCTCAGAAGTCTACTCTGGTGTGACTTCACTTCTAGAACTCACTTTGCTCATTTGTAAGATGGGGCTCTTATCTCAGGGGGTTGGAAAATGGGGAAGGAGCAGAACAAGAGGAAATCCAAATGGGTAAGCCTCTGGCTCTACAAAGCTGCATTCCAAATAGTTCTACCCTTAGAATTCCACATAAGATTTTATTCAAAAGCTCCACTAAGGAAATGAGGATCTTAACAACCACTGAATCAGATCATCTATAAGATCCCTTACATGGTCATCATGAGGCAAGTGGAAGTACTGCTGTAAGTTGAGCGAATGGGAGTGGCATTATCCTAAACACGTCATCTGAAAACATGAGCCCTCGAATAAACTTTTCTTCCCTAAAATTACTCTGGTCAGATCTTTTAGTTACAACAGCGAAAAAGCTGACTGAAACAGATGCACATTGAAGGTTATATATTGATTAACAATTACAGATTACAATTAATCAGAGCAGATGTAGTCTGGATACATCTTGCCTCATTCATTCATGAAACATTTAACTAGAAGAAAAGAGAGGCAAGGTTGAGCAGTGCAGATTCCCACTTGCACAGCTGCTGGGGATGGGCCTGGCTGGAGGTGTTCATGCCCTGAGAGCATGACCTGGACCAGCCTGCCAGCTTCATCCCAGACAGGAAATGAACAGGGGTCCAGGAGCCAGGTGGCCCTGCTCTGGTCTCAACTCTGCCCTTTTGCCAAGTTTTTCTCCCTTTCTTGGATTGCTTCCTCTTCTGCAAATAAGTAAGGGGATGATTACAGCACTTTTAGTTCTGAAACTTCAGGTTTTAATGTGCAAGATTTGGGGAGTGGGACAAGTTGGAATGCTTTGCCTCCTCTTATAGTGTGTCTCTGGATAGAGGCATCTGCCCCACTGGACACTTCTGGATTCTCTTTGCCCTTCTTTTCATACCCCAGCTGTGAAGGTGGAGATTCAAGTAGTTGGTAATTTGGGTGTAGGGGGCAGGATGAGTGGGCATGTTGGACTCCATCTTCTTGCTTGGCACAGGATTCAAGCAGCTGGTTTCCATTCTGCCTCCAAGAACAGCTGCCCTTCCCTAGGGTGGGCCTGCCTCCACCTGGCACTGCCTAGAATCAAGCAGATGTTTCTCACCTGGGGACTCAGCACCACCAAGCCCTCTTGGCCACAGTCCAGTGACAGTCTGGCCTGGCATCATTTCATTTCACAGGCTGAATGCACAGTACAGCTGACCTAGTTGAGCTGGCCACTGACGTGGTTATGAGCCTCTGCCCTGTTGACGCCTTTCTTTGAAACAGGGTCTCCATGTGTTACCCAGGCTGGCCTCCACGCCTGGGCTCAAGCGATCCTCTTGCCTCAGTCTTTCAGGGAGCTGGGACTACAGGTGTATACCGCCTGTGTTTATCTTCACTGACTCTTTTATAAACTAACCCTATGAAGGAAATGTTATTATGATCCCACTTAACAGTTGAAGAAACTGAGACTCAGATTTTAAACACTTTGCCCAAGTTCTCACAGCATCTACCTCATAGGTCTGAGAACTGCATGAGCAGTTGATGAATGTGTTTCTCAAGGTTGTGTCACCAGGCCTGACTGAGTGACCTGTGATGAAATCGGTCTGGGGAGCCCCCCCCCCCCATCAACAGCCTGGTAGATACCAGGAGAAAGCTACCTTCTAAGTCACAGCTCCAAGAACTCTCAATCTGTCCCCACTGGGTTCCAGCTGGGTAGCAGCTGGTTGAACAGAGGAGAGATGGGGCCTCCATGTGCCCTAGGAAACCTTCTCTCTGATGATGTGGGGCATGAATTTGGAGGGCTGGGGTGGGCAGGCTTGCAGTCTCACCAAGTTTCTCTCAAGAGGTGCAGCTCACCTGGGGGGCCCTCCAGAGGGTGGTCTCCATCCCTCCCTGTCAGAACAGGAAATGTCCACCTGACAAAGCTGTCAGCTACAGTTAGAATGAACCCTAACTTAGGTGTCACCTCCTCAGGGATGTGTCTTCAATGGTCTAGATCAGCAGTTCTCAGCCCTGGTGACCCATTAAAATCCCAGAGGGATTTTTAAAAAGCAAAACAAAAGATGCGGGGGCCCCCATCCGTTCCCTGGTAAATCAGAATCTCCAGGGTTAACCACAGCCAAAGCCATGTCTGGGAACCACTGTTCCAGACTAAGCTCATTCCTGCATCTCCCAGGCTCACATCCCCCTTGGATATCAGTTTCTAAACACCGCAGCCATCTTTACCTGGATATCTGCATTTCCAGATAACCTTTGACCTCCAGGGAGCAGAGGTCACATTGTGCCCTCCCGTTCAGTGCCCAACACAGTTCTTCATGTTCAGTAGCAATTTAAATAACATTTAGTGAATAAAATCAAATAGGGATAACTTAGAATTCAGGAATTTTTCCTTTAAAAATCTCAATATATTTTTACACTGAAAATCAAAGTCAAATAAATGTTTGCATGTATGCATTTCATAATCAAAAAATTCATTAATAGTTCACAAATTGTTAGTTACATTAAACCCTATGAGGTAGATACTACAGCCTACTTTTGACCTTGAGCAAGCTAATTAAATTCCAAGCCCTAGTTTCTTCATCTTTAAAATAGGATGATGATTCCTTCCTCTCAAGGTTGTTAATGAAATAACTTTAGCATATAGCACATTGGTTCATAGTCAAGTTCAAGAGAGTGGGCTATTATTGTCATTCCTCTCATATTACAGTGGCTTAACAGGTTCTGATATATAAAGTAAATTGCCCAAGATCTCACAGGATTCGAAACCGAGGTCTTCTAAAGCTTCCCTGAATCTTATATTCTTGTATATGTCATGTTTAAAAACATTTTTTCTTTGAGCAAAAGGAGACATAGGCAAGCTCAGTTTTCCAGATGGGGAATGCAGGTCTCAGAGAGGTGATCTGTGTGGAAGTCATACAGACGGAGGCATCTGTTCAATGCAGGGAAGAGCAGCGGGTTAGGCAGGCACCTGTGCATCTCTCCTCTGCTCTCCCATGGGCTACCTGTGGGCCTTCAGCCAGCCACACACCACATCCTTTCCCCGTGCCTCAGTTTTTACCTCTGCAGACTCAGGGGACTGATGATATTATCATTAGATTGTCTCTACTCCGGGGCTGTGTGTGCCCTGTGTCTAGGGGCCCTCTGCGTGGTGTATGCACAGCAGCATCTGCCCCAGGCCCAAGGACGGGAGATAATAAATCATCTTCCCTCCTTACCCAGAATGTCCCACTCTCCCAGGAGCTGGGGAAAGAAGAGGCTGCCCCTGGACCAGGTCCTGTGAGCCACTCCCTCTCCCACCCTCCCCCTCACCAGGCTGCCTTGTGCACTTCCTGAGCTGGGAAGCTCCAGAGAGCCCCAGGAGACTCAAGGGCTCAGGCTCTTCTTCTGGAGCATCCTGCAAGGTGGTAAAGAGCCGCTAACACTAAGGAGTCTCTGGCTTCTCCTTAATATCCCAAGGTGTCTGTCTCCTGTCAATCATAGAGTGCCCTTCTTCCAGGAGGAGTAGTTCTGGCTTTCCTTTAAGTTCGAGAACACAAAGAAACTAAGCAGAGAGTATATCAGAAACCAGACAAGTAAAAAGGGGGGGGGGCGGCGCAGAGAACCCTGATCAAAACCACACCAAAATATTTCTATCAATTATATTTGAGGAATGATATTTTTTTCTTTGGTGCTGTTCTAGGATTTTATTTTTGTAGTAGTAGGTATTGCTTTTCCAAAGAGAAAATGTACACAACATGTTTTTATTTTTATTCAGGGAGGAGTTAACAAGGAAGTGAATTGCCTCAGCTTCTTTTATCTTTGTCCTTTGAGAATCAAAGTTGAGGTCTGGGAAAGGCTAGCACCTGAGAACAGGCAGGACTCCCTTAGCTGACCTCGGCCACTGAGAGTCAAAAACTCACACCCACCTGGCACCTGCAAAGGGTCGTCCATGGACTGTCCATGGACTGCCCCTGGCCAGGCATGATCTGCTCTCTGGGACTCCTCTCTTCTCCCTCAGCCACCTGTTCTTGTCATGAGACGAGTATTCAGGTCCGGACATCCATACTAAGTTACTGCTGACCAGAGACTTAAGCATTCTGCTCAGTAACTCATTATCTCATCCTCATGAATTTAGAAATAGTGGCTGTCCTTTATAGAGCTGCCTTCTGTGCCATTATTTTCACATACCCTCAGTCAACCTTTTATTTATTCACTCATCCAATATCTACTGACCTATAGAGAGCAATATGGAGATTCTTCAGAAAACTTGGAATGGATTCACCATTTGACCCAGCTATCCCACTCCTTGGTTGATATCCAAAGCACTTAAAATCAGCACGCTACAGTGACATAGCTTCATCAATGTTTATAGAAGCTCAATTCCCAATATATGGAACCAATCTAGATGCCCTTCAACAGATGAAAGCATAAAGAAAATGTGGTACATACAATGGAATATAACTCAGCCTTAAAGAAGAATGAAATTAAAGCATTTGCTGGTAAATGGATGGAGCTGGAGAATATCATGCTAAGCCAATCCCAAAGAACCAAAGGCCAAATGTTTTCTCTGATATGCAGATGCTAATTCACAATAATGGGGGAAGGTGCTAGAATAGAATAGAAGTAGTTTAGATTAGACAGGGGAGTGAAGGGAGGGGAGGGGATTTAGGGGTGGTAAGATTGGTAGAATGAATCAGACATTATGACCCTATGTGCATATATGATTACTCAACCTGTGTAATTCTGTATCATGTACAATCAGAAGAAAAAGAAGTTATACTCCATTTTGCATGATATATCAAAATGCATTCCACTTCAAGTATAATTATTGAAAACAAATTTTTAAAAAATCTAGTGACTTTCTGCATTAGACCAGGCATTATGCTATGCTTGGTGCTGAGGATGCAATATTGAGCAATAAATTCAAAACACCCACCTTTAAAAAGTTAATAGATTTTATTTCACATCCTCTCAAGAAATATGAATGGTTGACATGATTATTCTCATTTTACAGACAAGAAAACTGAGGCTTAAACAGACTTAATAACTTGCCCAAGTTCACAGAGTCAGAAAGGAGCAGAGCCAAGATTTGTACCCAGATCTATTTGAAGTCCAAAATTTGTACACTTTCTATACTACTATACTCCACCATCTCTTAGCAAACACAGGAGCGTTGGTTGTCAGGCCCTGCATTTCTGGAGTTTTATTTACTAAACTGCACACACTGGAAGGCATGTCTTAAATTTCTTTATAGCTGTGCCTAGCACAGCATTGTTGCCTAAGAGATGCTTAAAACATAGACGAGCGACAACATTTGAACTCACTGGGAGCCCTTGACAGCTCACCTTCCCATCTACCTCTTTAGTCATCTCTATCTCTTGTTCACAGCCAGATTTTTTAAAGAGATGCCTCCACTCTCCGTGTCAGCTTCCTCACATGCCATTCACCCCTCACCCACCGTCCCTGAGAAATGTCCCCTGCAAGAGAGGCAGTAACTTCTTCATCAGTAAACCCAGTGGGCACTACTCAATTCATTTTATTTGTCTTTCCAATGTGCAACTCTTTGAAATCCTGTTTTCTCAGCTTCAGGACTCCAGTTTTCCTCCTACTTCTCTGGCTGTCCCTCCTTGGTTCCTTTTTAATTACTCTTCCATTGCTCCTCAATAAGCATGGGTCCCCCAGGGTGCCAGCGCACTGTCTTCTCCCCTCCCTCTTTCCACTCTCCCTGGACAACCACGCTCCCCCTCATCCTCACATCTCTGCCCAGATCTCTCACCCAAGATTTAGACAGCAAACCTGAACTCAGTGGGATCCTGAAAAGCTGTCCTCCTTCCTGTGTCACATACAAGAACTAATGACACCCCTGTCACCCAGATGGAAGCCTCCTCCTTCTCTTTCACCTCCACATTCAATCTAGCACCAACCCCTGCCAGGTCTACTCCATGGGAGTGTCTTTCATTATTCTCCTCTCTCTTTCACAACCACCACCTAATTTCAGGGCTCTATCATTGTATCCTACGGTCACTTCAACAGCCACCAACTGCTCCTATTTCCTTCAGTGAGTCTTGCTTCCTTCAGTCCAACCTCCATACTGCAGCTGGAAGAAGCTTTCAAAGACTGCAGACGCCATCATCACTTTTCTGCCTTCAATTGTCTTATGGAGGACTTGATCTGAACTCACATTACCATGGCTCAGAGGACTCAATGATCCAGCTCCTGCCTACCTTTTTGGCATCATTTCCTTCTACCCTCCACCCCACTCCTGTGTTCTATGCTCTGACTATATTAAAACAGATTGCAGTTCCCGTAGCCTGCCAGATTCTCCACCCCAATATATCTTTGCACTCACTGTTCCCTCGCCTTGGAAAGGCTTTCCTGACCCGCCTCTGTTCTCCAAGATCCGATTCAGGTGCAATCTCCTGCCGGAAGACTTCCCTCCACCCTCAGCCTGGTGAGGGGTTGTCCTCTGGGCTTCTATTCTGCCCACCCTTCCCTTACTCATGGTACCTAGTGCCCTGCTCTATAATATCCATGCTCTGTCCCCTCGACTTAGAGGATCTGAAGGGCAGCACTGTCTCTTTCCTCTTTGTACTTGCCATCTGCATTCTGCTATGATATTTGATATATAGATGCTCAATGGAAGGATGGGTGTGAAGGGGTCCGTGGGGGTGGATATTAACGTGTAGGTGATGGAAACTGGAGTTAAGGAGGCTGTCTACTCACACTCCCCAACTCCATCCTCCAGGACCAAGTGGAGCCATGCAAAATGGCCCCAAAGCCCAGTGCCAAGCAGAGTTCTGTGAGCTATCCGGGGAAAGCACACAGCACAGATGGAGACACAAAACAAATACAGTTTAATAACCAGCCACATTTTTTTTAAAATGGGTATGTCCAGGTTGACATGAAAAGAAACTCAGAAAGTACTGGCTTCTATTTAAATGGATATCCACAGCTACATTCTAAAGGGATGCAGAGGACAAAGTTTTGATCCAACGACCTAAGTGTTCCATTGGGTACAACTTGCACTACTGCAGAGCAAGCCGCAGGACCTCTGACAAAAGGGAATCTCCTAAAATCGATCTAATCACCTATTGAAAAAGAAAAAACAAACCTATGGTTATTTAGTATGTTAAGAAAAGGAAGTGTTCAAAATCATCACTGAAATTGTACTGAAGGCCTCAGAATTCACAAACCCAACTGACCACAACCAGAACAATGAAGACGATAATACAGAGTCCTACTGGGGGCTATGCACTGTGCTTCCCTTTCCCAGAACCCAGCGTTTCACATGACAGGCACCTGCACACCTCCTCTTTAATCTGATACCAAGTTCCCTATCTCGGCTCTAGTTTGGGGCAATTCAGATGAAAGTTTTCCAGAGGCAACCACTGAACACTTCCTGATGGAAACTGATTCTGCTCTTTGTCTAATAAAGATGTCTCTTCGGTGCCAAAATTGAGAGCTCCCTTCCCTTTCCCATTTTCTTCCCTTTCCTTTTCACATATTCACCTCCTCCTGCTCAGGACACTACAGCTGTCCGGAAAAACTTTATTTCTATTGCATATGAGGGCCAATCTTATTTCCAATTCTTTGCATCTGTGGCTGCCTGTCCCTTGAAGGCTTCCCACAAGGAACTCTATGGTACCCTCAAGTCTCCGTTCAAATACTAGTACCCTAGAGACACACTGGCTAATTAGTTGCTTAATACTTGCCACCAACTCTCTCCATCCCATCACCCTATTGTGTTTCTGCAGGATAAGACATAGAGGGGATCAACCAGGCTTCCTGAAAATTTTCTGTGACCCCTTGCTCTAGTTTGGAAAGTCCCCCCAAGACCTATGTGTTTAAGGCTTTGTCCTCTGTCATGGTACTATCGTGGGATTTCCTGGGGAGTTTCAGATCACTGGAGGTATACTTTCCTCAAACCATTGTTATTTGTGTCTGTAATAGTAGCCAACCTAGAAGCCAAATAATCTGAAATTATCACATTTATTTACTTATTGTATGCTGCTGTTCTCCATTACTTCTACAAAATGAGATCTAAGAAGGTAGAAACCTTTACCCTTGATCACCACCATATCCCGAGAACTCAGAACTGTACTTGGTAGATAATAAAGACACATTAGACAAAAATGTAATAAATATATGGTAAGTATTTGCAACAAGAATGAATAGATAAAAGCATGAGTGAGTCGCTGGTTCTCCTTGCTAACTCTCTGCCCAGGTTTTTCCTTGTACGTCCCTTTCTGTCCACCTCTCCCAGCTTGTGTGGCCCTGTTCCCAGGCTTCGCAATACCAGAGGTGCTGCATCTTGCCCACATACTCCCCTGGCCTGAACATGGAAAACCAAGTTTTCTGGCTCAGGGGTTTGAACTTTTCCTTAGTGCTTTGTACACCCAGATGAGCTTGGAAAAGCCTTTTGACATAAGACCACACTTCAAAGAAAGTCACCTGGGATATCGGATAGCATCTGGTCCCTCTCTGGGTCACCACCACAGTGCTCAGTTTCTTCCCTTTCATGCTGAAGTATCAAAACATGAAAAACAGGTGGTTACCAGCTATGCAATCTGTCGGATTTTCCTCTCACCTCCCAAGGATTCTGGTGTGATTTGAGGGCTGATTTGGGGTGACTTGAGGCTGTGAGTCTCAAAACACATCAGCCTTGGTTTAGAGCCATGTTGTCAATAGAAATAGAAAGTGGACCACAAATGTAAGCCATAGGTATAATTTTAAATGTTATGGTAGCCACATCAGATTTAAAAAATATATAGGTGGAACTTGAGGACATTATGTTAAGTGAAATAATGAAGACAAATTGTATTTTCTCACTCTAGTGGAAGATCAAAATAAAAAAAGTCAACCTCCTACAAGAAGAAAGTAGAACAGTGATTGCTAGAGGAAGGGGAGGGGAGGGGAAAGGGGACAGGGGGAGGATATGGAAGACCAAAACACAGTTAGATAGGAAGAATCCGTTCTAGTGCTGTACAGCACCAGCAGAGTGGTTGGTTTACAACTTATATATTTTATAAAGAACTAAAAAAGAGGACTTCATAGACTCCAAACACAAAGAAAAATGTCTAATATGATAGAATTCTAATTACCTTGAACTGCTTACTGTATGCATGTACCAAATGATTATATTGTACCCCATAAACATGTAGATTTATGTTGGTTAAAAATTTAAAACTATATGTAATTTTTAAGTAAAAAGAAACCAGAGAAATTAATGTTAATGATATATTTAATTTACATTCAAAATATCATTTCAATATACAGTCACTTAAAAATTAACAAAATATTTACATTCTTTTTTATACTAGTTCTTTGAAATACCAAGTGGATTTTAAACTTACAGCATGTCTTAGTTCAAAATGACCATATTCTAAGTGGTTACTAGCCACAGGTAAGTTCAAAAGTATACTGGTTATATGAAAGTTCAAGTACTTAAACATGTCATAAGTTCACATGCTCACTAGCCACATGTGGCTAGCAACTATGATACCGGACAGGGTAAGTCTAGAGCAAAAGGTATTGAATTAGACTGTGGCCAAGTTTTGTCCTGAGTCAATCCATGTGACACTACTGCAGAGCAAGCCACCTTCATCTGTAAAATGAAGCTAATTACATCTGCTTCCCAATTGTTATGGTTTAGGTATAAGTTACCCCCCCCCCTCAAAAAAAAAGCTCATGTGTAAAACAACACAAAAATGTTCATAGGTGAAATGATTAGATTATGAGAGCTGTAACCTAATCAGTGGATGAATTTGCTGATATGGATTAACTGGGTGGTAACTATAGTCAGTTAGGGTGTGGCTAGAGAAAGTGGGTCCCTGGTGTGTACCCTTGGGGTTTATGTTTTGTCCCTGGTGAACAGTTCTCTCTCTAAATCCTGGTTGTCATGTCCTGAGCCTCTTTCCTCCACCACACCCCTCTGCCGTGATTTTCTTCCTACCTTAGACCCAGAGTTATGGAGTTGGCCGACCGTGGATTGAACCTCTGAAACCTTGAGCCAAAAGAAACTCTTCCTCTGCTTAACTGTTCTTGTCGGGTACACTGGTCACAGCAACACAAAGCCAACTAAAACAATAATGTTTAGGGAAGGAATTAGAGAGCAAACATAAGTGAAAGTGTTAAATGTAAGACGATTTGATTTTTGTCAAAAAAAGAAATTAAGCCAGGAAAAACATGACACATATCCCATAAATATGTATAATTATTATTTGTCAATTTTTAAAAAGATTTTTTTTTAATTTAAAGTGGATTTCAGTATTCTCTCTACTATTCCTCTCCACTAATATGAAAGTTATTCAGCAAAACAAGAAAAGGAGAAGGGATACTCGCCTTCTGGATCAACGGATGACTCCTATTTGACTGCTTATCTGATCCTTCTCAGACCTAGGAGGATTTGAGGCGGGGGCACTGGAGTGAAAGTGTTAAGCTACACTGTATTACAAACCAGCAAGTAATGAATCTGGTACATCTCCTCTGCTCTCAGGGACTTTGACTATGAAATCAGCTGTCCTCACACTGAACTAACTCAAGAAGAGGGGGGCATTAGGCCCTGGCTTGAGCAAAAGATCAGAAGAACATAGGATTACTCTTGTTGTATAAATAAACATAACACTGCACATGCACAAACATTTTATGATTTGGTTTGGATATCAGATTTCATTAGCATTTTGTTTTAGTATTTCTGTCTCAGTTATCAATTGATACATAACAAGTTATTCTGAAACAGTGTAAAATCATAAGCATTTATTACCTCATAGTTTCTGTAGGTCATGAATACAGGAGCATTCTGAGCTGATGGTTCTTCTTTAAGGTCTTTATGATACTGTGTCAAGGGGTTAGCCTGGCCTTCAGTCATCTGAAGGCTTTGCAGGGGCTGGAGGACCCACTTCCAAAATGGTTCACCATTCACTTGGCTGTTGGAGGGAGGCCTCAGCTTCTCCTCACGTGGACCTCTCCATGGTACTGGTTGACTGTGCTTATGACTTCTCCTCCCAAGGCTTCTCCCAGAAGGAGCCAACCCAGAAACAAGGGGGAAGTCCATGCCTCTCATGAGCTGGGCTCGCAGGTCATACACAACTCTTCCTGCAATATCCACTTGGTAACAGAGGTCAGCCCTGTTCACTAGGGAAAGTAACTATACAAAAGTATGAATACCAGGAGGCCAGGATTTGGTGATCATCTTGGAGGCTGACGGCCACAACTGCCAACTGATGATAGTCAAAAACAGGGTCTCTTAAATATTATTTAAGCATGATTCACTCTGGGAAAGAGTTTCTGGTTCATTCCTAACACACAAACATATACACATGAGATGTGTATCCTCACTCACTTCGAACATAGACCTTCCATGATGAGAGAAGGAGGTCTAGATCTATCACGGCTCCTCAGGGCTCTTTCCCTGGACCCTAGAAATTGCCTCCGGTTGTCCCTTAAGTCCCCTGTTCTTCCCTGGTCCTTCTCCTCCCTACCAGTTCATAGACCACAGAACAGAAGAAGACCTGGCTGCAGAGCTTGTGATTTGGTTTGCAACAAGATTGTTTTGATATTATGGTGAATTCTCAAAGTGCAGCTGACCAGGTCTTTAGAAACAAGCAGAGCTGCCCTCCTCAAAAGATGAGAGCCAATCAATTGCACAAACAGGACTCTGTTTTTTAAAATGACATGAACAGATGTGCTCTCTTAAGAAGAGATGACAGAGGCTGAAAAAGCAGAGGAATTGGGAGAGCTCAGAAAAGGAGTGACCCTCCAAAACTGATTCCCACATTATTAGAGCCAAATGTATTTTTTTGCCCCTGAACTTGGGGTTCCTTTCTCTTCTCATTCTTTTCATTCCCATTTTCTTTAAAAGGTCAACAAATCCTGGCATTCCTCCTTTGAAAGTTCTCTAACATCAGTTTTCTCCAGTCACCTATGACAGTCTGGCCTGGATCCTGGCTCTGCCTTACTGTCAATGGCCCTGATGGGCAGCTCACGCCGAGCACTGTGCAGATCCAGGTGCAGGGCTTAGGCAGCTACTACCACCACACCATAGCTGTTCCCCTGAGATCTGCCCTTGGACATGGAAGATAGAGGCTATCCTCTAAATGGAGGGATTCTGGAGGCTCCAGAAAACACCTCTCTGTCCGAATGTGTTCCCACCATAATGATTCCCCCCATAATGTTTCCCCCAGGTGGATTTCCATCATTGTCCTCTGCCTGCCCCACCTCCATCCTGAAAATGTAGATTCTGCTGCAGCTAACAACACTTGAGAATGCAGTGGTTCTTAAACTTGACTGTGATTCAGCAAATCTGGGTGTGAGACCTGGGCATCAGTGTGCTTCACTGACACCCACAGGATTGCTGGAGCGTACTCTGAGCAACACTGTCCTTAAGCAACACTGTGACCTTGTTTCCCTAATTCTTTCCTCTCATGGTGGCTAAGAATGCAGACTGGTGGCAAATCAGGCTTCTCTGATAGTCCTGACCAAGAACCAGACTCTAGGGCTCTGAGCATCAGGAGTCTGCATGCACACACACACACACACACACACACGCATGTGCACACTTCACACCTGCACACACACACACACATACACAGGCACAGCTGCTGAATACACTGTCCCCATAGTGCCTGGCCTGACTCCAGACCACCAGGCTGTCTCTTGGGCCCCAAACCCTTAAAAACTACCAGGCAGATCGCCGCTTTCATCCTCCCACAGACAAAAGCACAGCTCAGAAACAGGCAGCAAATTCCTGCCTGAGGATACATATCTCTGGGCTGATTAAATAAACAGGGCTTAATTAAATTAAAGCAGGATCAGAACCTGCCTAAACTCTGCTGGCAGCCCAGCACCGTCCCTCATGAATCTTTCATTTTCATAAATGAGTGATTGCCTGTCTGCTATGGGGCTTGCCCTAAAGGAAGAGGGGCCTCAGGGTAGAAACAGCTCCTCTGGTCCAAAGGAAGTGGTAATGGGGTATTTTTATTCAGGGGACTTTGAAAGCTTTTTGTGCGCTATTTGAGGGAATAAAATTCCCATTCTGTCGCTGAGCACAGAATGGATATGACAGGCTACTGTCTTAACCCCAGAGGGCCGTGAGAATTTGGGGACAGCTGACCAAATATATGGTAGAGACAGAGAGACACACAGACAGAGAGACAGGACCCTGAGAAAGCAGAAAATTCAGCCACAGTTGAGGGCATCACAAATAGGCCTCGGGAATTCCAAGAGACAGATTCTCAATGGTGTTGGTGGCTGCCAGGAGTCAAGAAGGAGGGGGGAAAGCACCTGTTTTAAATCTTCTCAAAGGAGGAGCCCAGAGGAAATAATGAAAAAAGCAACTGTGTAAACCTGCTAGGCAGATAGGATTCCTCTGCTCAGTGGGGTCAAGTCCAGCTGCCTTCTCGAGGCACAGCCAGAGGCCTATGGGAAAGGGCTGCTCAGCACGCAGAGGGCCAGCAGGGCTGCCGCACTTCCTAAGAGCCCTGTATGTTACTGCTGAGTGACCCACCTGGGCTGCAGAGGAGGCAGTGAGGGGACATTACATCAAGAATGGAACTGAACTGGGGGAAGCAGCCTGGTCTCTGTCCCTGATGTGAAAAAGCCAATGACACAACTTGGGGGTCTCTCTCCAGGGATGTGCTTCTACAGCCCTACCAGTCTCTTACAGCACGCTGGGAAGGGAAGGACAAAGAGGTGACATGCCCAGTGTGCAAGCTCCAGCAGAAAGTCTTTGAGAAAGGAAGTCAAAACTAATGGGCAAGCTGTGGCTTTCACGCATCCACATTGCTTGTTGCCTCCATGAGTCCAGAAATGTGAGAGAGGGCCTGTGCAATCTGTCACTGTCCTCTGTGGGTGCCACTGACACTGCTGACGACATTATTTTCTGCCTCAAGCTTCCCCTCATCAGCAGGATTTTTGCTTAAGTTTCTCACAGACCTAATGTCTTCTATCACCTGATACACTCCTTGAGTCCCACACTGGTGATCGCTCAGCTCATCTATGGTGTCCTCACACTACCAACACAGGCTCTCAGCAACAGTTGAGTAGACTGCTGTTCCTATATCCTACTCACCTGCTTCCTCCTCCAAGCCCTAACCTGGAATACCTCTCCATCAGTTCTCTGACAAGCAGTAGAGATGTCTTCTTGTCATTCTGATCAAGAGCTCTCTAGCCAGTGGAGTTCACTCCAGCCTCCCTAGTGGCCCCAGGGTTGTGTTGGACCAAATGAGAAAGAGAATTATAGAACATGGGGCCTGCATGGTCTAGAGAAGCTGTCATATGTCATGGCTGGCTGTGTACTTTTGAGCACATTAAAGAGCCATTTTAAAAAAACCAAACGACCTAGGGCTTCTAAGTCTAAAGTGACTCCACTCTCAGGTTTATCTCTTCTGTCTACAGAGAATCCAAGAGAGACACATCAGATTATTTAGGATTTCAGTGTCTTGTAACACACAAAGCAGATGGAGGAACGTGAAGGAGGAGCTGAGCAGAGGAGACTGGGAAGAAAGGAAAAAACACAGAGGGCAAGTGTGAGAAATGAGGGTGCAGCAGGGTCACCAACTCAGTCTGTGTTACAGAACCATCTCCCTACATTTCCCTCTCGCAGCCCAGCTTACAAAACACCTGGCAGCCAGGTACTTACATTCAACTCTGAGGGAGGAAGAGTCCCAGAATAAAGCTGAAACTTTGTCAGTACAATAAATGCAAGTGGATTTTTTTAGGAGGAATGAGGGCACACTGTGTGGGACTATTGTTTGCCACACACAACTCTTCTCTGAGCTTCAGAGGCTCTCCAGAAGAAGGAATGGCTGCATCTTCCTATCCAAGATCAGCAGGCTGTTGAGAGAAGCCCAGATGTGAAATGGAAAGACCAAGAGGAACAAAAGAAGGAAAATTCATCTTGGAGGAAAAAATAAATTAATTAATTAAAATTATGAAAACTCTAAATAGTCCTTCCAGGGACATATGAAAAGACTCTTCATCCACAAAACAACAACACAGAAAAGAGACCATCAGAGGTGAAAGAAAAATCCTTGAGAAGTAAGGCTATCACTGCTAAAAAAAAAAAAAAAAATCAAAGTTAATAAAAGAGTGGAAAATTAAATTCTCAAAAATATACCAGGATATAGAACATTAAGATGAAGATACAAAAAAAAAGTGAGAGAAAAGCTACATAGGGAACAAATTCAATTAATAGAATTCCCAGAAAGAGGCAATAGCGGACAGGAAAGATGTCAATATGCTTCCCAGAGATGTAGGTGTTCAGGTAGAAATGGAAATCTCGCTTGAGGTTTAGAACAGTCCATTTTAAGACGCCTTCTGCTTAATCACATCAATGTGACATTTTGGAATACAAAGTACCAAAATAAATTCCTAAATGCATCAGAAAAAAAAAAAAGAGGTCTTTGGTTATAAAAATATAGACACACACACAGAGTTTCCAACTTAACTATGGTTCAGCAGGATTTTTCAACTTGATGATATGAAAAGAATAATTTTAAGTACTTTGAATTTGAATCCATACAACCATTCTGCTTTAGACTTTCAGTACATTATTCAATAAATTAGAAGATCTATTAAACACTTTATAAGACAGACTATGTGTTAGATGATTTTGTTCAACCATAGGATAATGTAAGTGTTCTGAAAATACCTAAGGTAGGCTAGGCTAAACTTGACATTCAGTAGATTAGGAGCAGTAAGTGCATTTTCAACTTGTGATATTTTCATCTTTTGACGGGTTTGTCAGGATGTAACCCCACTGTAAGACAAAAATAATCTGTATACATAAAAACCTTAATCTAGCTTACACTAACAGAAACATGAGTATTGAGTAACCACCTATTGATAGAAAATCTGTGAAAGGAAACTCAGGAAATAGGCAGAAACAAAGAGAGTTGGAGGAAAAAGAATGGAACCAATGTCATGCCACAGGAATAACCTGGCTCATGTAGAGCTGTCACTATCAACGCACCCTGCCTACGAAGTCCAAGATCACCACCACTCTGCCACATTTGAACTCTGAATTCTACTTCAACCCCCAGCAAAATACATTTTTGCACCACTTATTTCAGATTCAGAGCCCAAAATGGGGGCATCTGATTGGCTTAAGTTAGGCAGGGGCAAATACTCTAGTTTTGGTAAATCAGAGAGAAACTATCTGACTTTCTGCATAGAGTTTGGAATCCCACCTCCCACCAAGACTCACTCAGAGGTGGATTCTTGCAGCCTCAGATGCCAAGCCGTCAATAATACCAAAGTAATAAATCTTTACTACAGTCCCCCGCTCTGACTCCTCACCATCTTTATAGATACCACTCTCCATGTTTACAATTCCAAAACTTGTGTTCAAATGTTTATACCTACCATGTGCAAGTAATTGACACTCACTCCCTTAGTAAAACCAGTCTCAAGAGTTGGTGAACACAGGGGCTGGGGTTGTGGCTCAGTAGTAGAGCACTTTCCAAGCATGTGTGAGGCACTGGATTTGATTCTCAGCACCACCTAAAAATAAAGAAAGAAAATAAAGGTATTATGTCCATCTACAACTAAAAATTTAAAAAAGAAAATTGGTGTACCCAGAAGCAATCCAAGAATTTCTAGATGATATCCATTTTTCCTCAGCTGTATCTCAGTCCCATACTGATTTTTGCAATTTTATAAGCTAACATATCCTACATACAACAATAAAAAAGTAGGAAAGTAATATATCTGTATGTCTATATCTAGATATAGATATATAGATATGTATCACAGCAAGAAAAGAAATTTGAGTAAATATTGTAGTCTTCTTTTTCCTCAGCTAGTAATGGTAGCAAACATATTATAGATAATAAAAAGAAATCTAAACCAAATATATTTAACCAAATATATTTGTTCTCACAGAAATATGAGAACTGCCCTCCATATAATAAAAGCAATTCAAAGCAGACAACCTGCCACAGGCTTACCGTTTTCAGGCACTGTAGTAGAGTTTCACAATGTCAAACTGGGCATTGAGAAGTGGTCACCTTTGTGAATAAAAGTGCATCAATTTATCTGATTATTAAGAACCCCCTTTGGCCAGGATACATGCCTATAATCCCAGCTACCCTGCAGCAACTTCGCAAGATCCTAAGCAACTTAGTGAGAACTGTCTCAAACTATAAAGGACTGAGGATTGAGCTCAGTGGAAGAACACTCCAGGGTTCAGTCATGGTGAGCAGCCTCTTGGAACACAAATATTCTCTCACAACTTGTTCATTCTGGGCAGCCAACGTATATGACTCTTCTCCAAACCTCCTGCCTCAGTCTTCTAGTAGTGCTCCTTTCAGATCCCTAATCCTAGGTCAACTCCCCTGACGCAGTGTACCTGAACCTTCTTTTCTCAGGTTGCTCTCTCTCCATGCAAATGGACAGTGAGAAGCACTGCTCAAAACTGCCTGTCAGGAGAATCTGTCTTCCCCCGAGGTCCTTTGGGTACGTAAGTGAAACCTCTGCACCAGCCTATTTCTGTTCAATGCAGAGCATTGGGCCCTGTTTGATTTGGTAGAAAATGGCAGAAAGACTTCTACCATTTTTCAGTTTCATTTCTGAGCATCAGAAACATGATATCCTTTTAAAGATATGTTACATCTGTATCTATTAATATATTTTATCTATAGTATATTTGTAGATGCTCAGGGAGAGGCCTTAGAGTGCACCCGGCCTGGCCATGCCCTGACCATTCTTTCCTTTGAGGCCACACACAGCCCTCAGTTAAGGCCATTCACATGAGGCACCTATGACTGGCCAACTAGCTGGCCATGATAGCCTCAACAGGTGAATATTTGAGATCCCAGATGTTTTAGGTCTCAAAGGCCCAGGTGTTTATTATATTATCTTAAAATACTACATTTTATCATGTTGGATTTTCCAGGAAGCATATCTGAGAAGGATATTAATGGCTACAGGGTCTCTCAGAAAACTGCTCTTGAAATTAATACTTTTGAAAGGGAAGAGATACAGCGCTGGGCCAGAAGAAAATAAGGACTGTGATGTTGAATCAGTGAAGACTGTAGGGACCCTGGTAGAAAGTCTGATGCTGAGGTGACTATCAAGGCTGTCTTCAGCTGGACCAAAGGGCACCTGGGCTTCAACACTGAGTTTTCCCTGTCAATACTTGGTCTATATTTAGATTTCACAAAGTAGTTTAAAAAGTAGGTCCAAGTCACATACCCACATTACTATAAACATACTTCCAAGTTTTACAACAACTAAATTTTATCAACTTTTAAATTTAAATCAAGGAAAATTAAGTAGAATTAGAAGTTAATTTCCTCAATCACACTAGCTCCACTTTGGTGCTCAACAGGCACATGTGATAAATGTTGTTCTATATTGGACAGAACAGGCTCATGCTGAGAGCCATAGCCGAGTTGGAATGATGCATGGCATTTTTGCCAGAAGGAGTGGTTGAGAGGTGACACCAGCAAGCCATTGAGATGATGATGGTTATGTTAAGCTGTGTATTCAATTGTATATTAGACCCCTGCTGTCCGCCTCAGCCTGCTACTTTGGAGTTCTAGCGGGATTCCTGGAGAGTTCCCATTGGTTGGGGAAGTGCCGGAGGAGGGATTTTCTGGTGTGTAGTATGTCTGGGGAGAAGGCCGTGTGCGTGGCATTCGCAGGAGTACGGAAATAAAGTTTGTTCCTGCTTGAGTGGCTCCTGATTTGTGCCCAGCCAGACTGCGGCAGGCTCATCCTATAAAAATCATGTGCACATATTCCTTGTACCTAAAGGGATACGGTTTTGGTCCCTGAGTAGTTCAATTTCCTCATATTTACCTTGGGACCAATAATGCAAAGCACACTTACACACCATTTCTAATCACCAACAACCAATTTATGAAGACAACTGTACACAGGTGCCCATTTCTGCCACAGAGCTTTCAGAGACTCCATGGGCTCAGAAATTAAAAAGGAGAAGAAACTGAAAAGTGAAGACAGACTAGAAGAGCTGACCATGTGTGTTAGTCAGCTTTACATCACTGTGACCAAAAGACCTATAAATACAACTTAGAGGAGAAAAGTGATTTGGGCTCATGGTTTCGGAGGTTCAGTCCAGAGTCAATCAACTCCATCACACTGGGCCCAAGGTAAGGCAGCGGATCATGGCAGAAGGGCTAGGTAGAGGAAAGCTGGGAAGCAGAGAGAGAGAGGGAGGGAGGAGCCAGGAAGACAAGGTAGAACCCCCAAAGGCATGCCCCAGTGACAAACTTCCTCCAGCCATACCCTTCCTGCCCACAGCCGCCAGGAGGTTAGTCCGTATAAATTATGAATCTATCAAATGTGTTAGCCCACTATTCAGGTGACAGGTCTCATAATCTAATCCTTTGACATCTAAACATTCCTGCATTAACACAGGTGCTTTTAGGAGACAACTCACTTAGAAACCATATCACCATGGCAGAGACTTAAGCAGTGTCACAGGCAAGACTGGCTTGCCCTAGGATTTTGCCCTAATCCAAAATAGTAATCCCTAAATTCCCAAAACTCAGAATGTACCACCTCATTTTTATTTTATTTTATTTTGTGGTGCTGGGAATCGAACCCAGAACCTTATACATCCATCACTGTGTTACACCTCCAGCCTACGCTACTTCATTTTTTTTATGGTACTCTAGTTCTACTAATTTCAGTCTTCTGCTTCTCTTAAAAAATTCAAACATTTTAAAATATAAGACTGTCATTCTTTTTTTGCAATTGTTTTTAGATATACATGATGGTATGGTGTGTTTTGATATATCATACATACATGGAGTGCAACCCATTCCAATTTAGATCCCATTCTTGTGTTGTGGAGTTACACTGATCATATATTCATATATGAGCATAGGACAGTTATGTCCAATTCATTCTACTGTCCATATAAATTACTAATAAATTATACTGTCTTTCCTACTCCCATACCTGCTCCCTTCCCTTCATTCCTCTTTTTCTAATTCAATGAACTTCTGTACTTCCCCTCGCTATCCTCCCTTGTTATGGGTTAGCATCTATATATCAGAGAGAATATTTGGCCTTTGGTGTCTTGGGACTGGCTTATTTCACTCAGCATGCTAGTCTCCAGTTTCATCCATTTACCAACAAATGCCATAATTTTATTCTTCATGGCTGAGTAACATTCCATCGTATATACATATACCACATTTTCTTTATCCATTCATCTATTGAAGGGCACCTAGGTTGGTTTTATAGCTTGGCTATTGTGAATTGAGCTATTGTAAACATTGATGTGTCTGCATCACTATATTATACTGATTTTTAAATCCTTGGGTATAAGCCAAGGAGTGGGATAACTGGGTCAAATGGGAACTCTGAAAGAAAATGGATGCCAGCCAAGAATATTATACCCAGCAAAATTAAGCCTCAGATTTGACAATGAGATAAAAGCCTTCCATGATAAACAAAAGCTAAAAGAATTCACAATTAGAAAGTCAGCATTACAAAACATACTCAATAAAGTATTTCATGATAACAGTCATTCTTATCTTAGAGATTGTTTGGTCAAATGGTTTTGCTCTTAACACCTAGCTGTGTTCAATAATGAACTCAATATATTTCACAAGCATAAAACAAAGATTAATATGAGATACTTCCTGGGATGAGCACATCTGGATACGGCACCTCCATTGGGAGCATAGAGCAAGGTAGGAGTGCTAGGGGTCCTAGAAAGCTGGAGAAGGGACATCAGCAAGTGGGGTGGGAACAGGGAGGCTGCCCCAGAAATGTCACTGAGCTCTGTTCTATACATAAAGAACAAAGGGACACTCTCTTTCTTCATCTCCTTGTTGCTTTCTTCCTTCTACTCCTCCTCTTTCCCTATCTTCTTTCTCCTTCATCTTCCTTCATCTTTCTCATCTCCTCCTTTTCTTTCTTCTCCTGCCCCTACCAACTCTACTCACCTCTACTAAGACTCTCAGCTCCCACTTACAAGGAATCAGACCAGTACACATCTCAGCTACATATCGACTTAAATTTCCTTTGTTTGTTTGTTTGTTTGTTTGTTTGTTTTGGGGGAACAATCTTGGGGACCTCACGCTGCATATAGTATTATTTTTTAAGCAGATGAGTTCCTCATTCCAAGCCACTCTCTGCAGTTTCCTGTGTGTAGACTCTGGAACACAGTGCCCACATCAAAGCTCACTAAATATTACTTCATTATAAATAGATTAAAGTGTGAAAATTCTTTGATTTAAGTGTATTGCTTCACAGAGAAACAAACAATAGCATCAACTTAGCTGCCAGGTTGAGAATAGACTGCAATTAAAACATTCATCCATCAACTCAGAAGACACCTTTGTTATAACAACAAAAATCTTCCCAGTAGCTGGAGGCCATGTGTTAAATAAACTAGAAGAAATATTTCCAGCGGGAAATGCCAGCTTTTCCCAGCTAAGTCTGACAACTTGATGATTTTTGAAACTTGATCTAAAGTCAGTTTCATATTTATAAATGGGAAGTTATTTTCCTAATTGTGACACATGAAAGTATAAAAATGTCACATTTGAATTTGACCATGTTCCCTGGTTGAATTTTCAAGTTAATTAAGAATTGTCTCCAAGTAATTTGTTTAAAGTGTTGGGTTAGTGTTTTTTTTTTTTTTCTTTTGTCCAAATATCCATCCGTTCCTTTGTTTTGGGGAGAAAGGGTTTGTTT